ACTATCATAGAGAAGCCACAAATGAATTTAATATTTGAACAAACATTGGCAGTAACTGCCCCGGAACACTGGAGTTTAAGGTTGGCTGACACATCTGAACTTTCTGGTTGACCCAGCAGTTGAGTTCAATAAAAACTGTGAACAGCAGTCCAAATTTGGTACAAGTACAGTGCAGGTATATTATAAAACTTTCCTTCCTTCTGTTGTTCCCCCCACCCATCCCTGATTTTGTTTTCTCTAATGTCTAGTCAGGACCAAACTTTCTTTTTCTGAACGTAGGTGGAGTCAAATGATTTTTGGGGAGGGAAGGAGAGGAATCTTATAAAATCTGACAGCTTACGCATCCTAACTGAGACAGATTGGTTTGTTCAGATAGACTGTGTATACAAGGTAAAATGAGTAAGATGACCTGGTGGTTCGCTGCACAATTAAATATAACTGGAAGGTGAAAGAAGAGCTTCATATCTCATACAAGCCTGGGTTACCTGAATAAGGTAATTTATTTATGCAATACTTTATTTTTGTTACTTCAAACTGGTTGCTCTGAGCATTCAGCCCCTCATTTCCATCCTTACATGCTTTGTCAGTAAATTGTGTTATAGATCATATTCATTAGACTGGCTCTTACTAAATGATGTTGATGAAGTTTGAACGGAGAATTTTATTAGGAGCTTCCTTGAGTTTGTGTCTGAAGACCATTAACTAGCACAATTCTTGTATCTGAAGCATGAGAGCATCAGCAGAGTCAGTCTGAGTGTTAGATGAAGACCAGAAGATACCTGGGTGGAATAAACCTGTTCCATGGGTATGTACCAAGGCACATGTGCAAAGGAAGTTTCAGCATAAATTGTAATTTATTTCCATGTTTCTTTCCATCTTTCTTCTAATGCAACAATTAAACCAAAATTAAATTAATCTGTTGTAAATTTGTTAAAGGTCTGCTTTGTGTTTAGTTTTATGTAGTTGATTTTGCTGCATGGTTCCTACTTCAAGGTAGTCTAGTTGGTGATCCTGTTCCATTATCAGCCTTTGGTAGCCTTTTGCCTTTGTGCATATCAAGTGTATTTTTCTTTTTTTTTATTTTTTTTTTTTTGACTCGATAAATCCAATTGCAAGGTAAAGTACCATGCTTGTAGTGGAAACCCAAACCACCCCCCCACTAACAAGTCACCTTTCTTCCCCTAACATGAAAAAACGTAATGCTTGAGTTTGTCTTCTTGGGGAAACTGTTTCTTCAAAGTGCTAAGTATCACCAGCTCACAGGGAGTCCACTCAGCCTATAAGAGAGAGTTATTTGGGAAGACTTATGTATGAGTTGCATGAAAACAAGAAGACACGGATTCATGGTAATGAGTCTTCTATTGATTCCACCACCAAGTTGCTCTTCAGTGTGCAGCAAATGTATAAAACTCATTTGCTTTTCTGTAAAAAAGCAAACTGGATCATGGAACATAAGAGAACTAAGTAACACAAGTACCAGTCTTCACAAGTTTATACAGCACCCTAAAATACAAGCTGTCAGATAAGCTTCATAGAATTTACTTTTATTATTGTCTGGTAAAACTTGCAATGTTGAAATGGATAAAAGCAGAAATAGCTTGGGGAACTTGAAAGCATGGATAGAGGAACACCCCCAGTGCCACAGAAAGTGCCTTTGCAGCTTGTGTAGAAAGCGCAAGGATAAAGGGTGCACTTTGCCTGCATGTCCTTGCTGGCAAATTTTGCCATAAGGGGAGTGATACTGCTGGCAGAGCTGTCTGCTCTTGTTAATGCACGCACCAAGCAAAGATAACAGCATTATGGCTTTTCTGGCTGAAACCTCTCTCTCAAAGGACCTTCATTCCAACTGCCATGGGAAAGCTTAGAGGTAGGAGGCAGTGGGATGCTAGGCAGAATGCTAATGGCTCTAGGCATGGCTTTACATTCTTCGAGGGATCTTGTGTGTGGTCAAGCACAAAAGGAAGGCCAGTATCCCTACAGGTTTTTCCTTCGTTCTTTTAAAGGTTGGTTTCAGGGACAAGAGGGTAAAGATACTAAAACCTTACCATTTGCTACTATTCTTAGCCAAGAGCGAAAAGAGATCCTGGGTGTTTTTTCAGGTTAGTTTTTTTTTGTGTTTTTTTTTTTTTTCCTAATTACATGTTTGTAGCAAACTTTCACTTGCAAGTGAATGACAGAAGAAGGCAGAGCATGGTGTGAGAAACATATCCACCCATTGCAACATCTATGCTTTCTTCTCTACAGAACGTAGCTGCACTTCTTTCAAATCTGTAGGGCTCCAGGGAGATAACCTCATTAATTAATCACACAACTAAGATAGTAATTTAATTTTGGTACTGTGATCATTAAAAGAGACTAGAGGCTGAATTCTGAGCTGTGACATGAAAGATGTTATTTGTGGTCGTTAAAGACTGCTCATTTAAGTCTTGTGAGTGGTAGGGCCTGATTTATACTCCCACTAGGGAAGATTTCGTCTAATGACGGGAGGTGGGTGGTGTCAGGGAACAGCAGATTTTATCATGCCTGTTTAGTCTGGGTGCTGCCTTGTAAGTAACAGGATTTTTTCTATCATCTGTCTTGTGGCAGAAATCATAATCCTTTGCCCAGGCGTGTCCATGCAGAGTGTAGTAGTATCAGTATCACTCTGCCTAGGGAGGCTTTTTAAGCCTGAACGTTGCATTCTTTTTTACGTTCTTCATTGCTTCAAAGCAAATTATGACCATGCCACTTAAGCCCAGCAATATCAGATGATATGGATAATGCCTGATCTAGCTTCTGTATTTTCTCATAGTATCTGAGCACTAATACAAGTATTAATGTTTTCAGCCTCACAAAATTAATGAATTTTGAAAGTATTAGCTGCATTTGACAACTGAGAAAACAGAGGCAAATGAGATCAAACAACTTTCTCAAAGTCACCCAGAAACTGGAGGAACAAAAACCAGATTTCCCCATATGAACATCAACCACAAGGCAGTCTGTCTCTTGCGGCTGAATTTCAAGATTTTCAGAAAGTTGTCTGAGACCTTGTGCAACTGATAAACCTGTCTGGCTGTGTCTCTTGCGCAAATATGTCCAGTGCCACATGTTAGTCTGGAGTTTGAGCCAGACACAGCAGCAGAATTATCTTTCTTCTGATGCCTACAGGGCTCTTATGGCTTCTTTCCCACACAGTGCTGTAGTGTTTTAAGTCCTCCTGAGATCATGTACCCCAGTGGAGCAAATCATGGGATTAGTGTCTGCTACTTTGTACTGAATGATCTCTAATGTTGTGGATTCCCTTAATTCTCCCTTTTTCCCACCTGCCTACAGGAAAGGGAATTTTAAGTATAGTACATCTTTAGCTATCTTCAGGTCACATTCTTCCTCTTACAACAAAACTGCTTCCTGTCTTTTTTTATCTTTTGCATTTTGTACAACATGTGTGTTCAGAATTTAAGGCCCATGAAGAAACAAGAAAAGAGTAGGATTGTTTCCTTCCTTCAGCCAGATCCTACATCTTCTCTGTACTGCATGATTACTCTGAGTTTGTCACAGAACTTCTAAGGGGAAATACACTCTCAGTTTTGCATTTAGTAATATATGCTTGCCTATTTAGATGCCTTCACGAGGAAGCATGTGCCCCATTTCGGTAAAAATGCTTTGTAATGTTGGAACCAAGGAAGTGAATTCTCAAATGTTGAGGACCCTAAATTTGTAAGCAGCGTTCCTTGCAAATTACTTCATAAAAATGGCTATGTTGGGTCAGGCCAAAGGGGGATGTTTAAGATTAAGACTAGACTAATCATAAAGTGATACTTCCCAGTTTCTGACTACTTGCAGCTTGAAGACTTCCTGAGCCAGGGACCAATTTTAACCATTTGGTAATCCTCAGTAGTTTTTTACATCACAGATTTATCTAAAATTTCCACGTAAACTTTTAGTATCCATAGTGTTACATGGCAGGGAGGTCCAAAATTCCATAGCGTACATCTAGTGTTCAGATATCCAGTACCTGTCTAATACTAGTTCTCTAATACATACCTCAGAGACAAGGGTAACATTCAGTTTCATGCAGAATACAATTTTTTTTATATTACACACATCCTATTCACACTGGAATTACTAAGAAATTATTGTCCTGGTTCTAAATAGAGCACGGCTTACAGGAACAAGAGTTGGTATTACATTTATATATTCCCACTCTATTCAGAATTGCCACCTGGGATTTTAGAGACCAAGCACAAACAGAAAAAAACAGGTTTGCAGTATATCTGAAACTTGTGCAATGATTAGAGTACCAAGGTTGTGAGGAACCCCTAGTCAGTACCTTCAACTTGAATTCTTCTGGTTTTAAATATCATTTTGGTATTTGCCAAACGGAAAGCGAAATCTTTCTTTGAAAGGCTGCTATTTCAGGAATGGGAAGCCCACTAGGTTTACTTCCAGATAAGTGAAGTAGCTTTCATTTATTTCCATTTATGTGGATATTCGGAAGACTGAAACTGACAGATTTCCCACCCTTTTCAGGTTAGGAATATTATTTTTCTACCTCTTGTTCTCTCACACTAGTGATATCATGCATAGGAGCAACTTAGTGAATGTAATTATTCTTTACCAATGGACACAATTATGACAAGATGCTAATGGGTACAAACAACTGCCTTGATGGCTTAAAGTTCATAAAGTTTATTGCAGTGTCCAGAAAATGTTACAAAGTGTGGTATCCTATCAGGCATTTAATTTTCTAGTTGTTTACAATAATACATTGGTTTGAAAAGTGAGTGGGATAAGGTTCCTGAAGTTACTAGTTTTGAAAATCTTAGTGTCTGCATAATCTCTTATCCCATTGTCATCTCTCCTATTTCCACGTCTATATGCTTCTTTCTTTCTTCTCTCCCTACCTGAATATTTTTCCTTCATCTTTTTTAATTTTTTTTCTTATCTATCTGCATTCTGTCTCCTGGGGCATGTTTCCCACATAATATTTTCAGTCAAATCACACAAGTGCATATTGCATTTTCACTTGGTAATGACTTGTGCAAGCCATTCCTGGAATCTTGTAATTGATTTCTTTTACACTGGTTCTTCTACTGATTTGCAGATTTAAAAATCCTCACTCACCACCCTCACCCCAGCAAAATATCCTGAGAGAAGATCTGAGAATTAGTAAAGATGCAGGCCAAAACCAGCAATCCACCAGATGGTGGCTATGGATGGGTTGTGGTAGCATCAGCCTTCACGGTGATGGGCCTCACTGTTGCTGTCCTCAAGACTTTCGGTCTGTTGTTTGTTGAAATCCAGCAGCACTTTGATGAACTTGCAAGTACCACTTCCTGGATCACATCAGTAACTATTACCGTCTTTCATTTAGGAGGTAGGTAGAAATGCTCCTCTAGCACTTTATTTTAATGTCAAGAAATTTTGAAGAGCTTCCTTAAGAAAACCCACAAAATTAAAATATGTAAGGCCAATACTTCCTCCTTCTGCCTCTACAGAAAATTGGCATTTGCTTCCTCTCATAAAAGTGTATTCATGCCTCAGACATTAAATGGGTTATACACAGGAACCTGATTGCCTTAAAGAACTTCATGTACATAGACTCATGACTCAATTTTCTACAGGCATTGAATCAAACTCACTGGAGATAATCCTCAGAAATGCAAGGCTTGTTGGATCAAGCTCTTAAACCAGTTTGTGCAAGTTCACTGATCTCACAGCAACTGTCACTTTTTCAAAGTGTTTTAAGATGTAAGGATTGTGACTCTGCCTAGCAGATAAGCCATTTGTTACCAAAACGGTGACTCTCAGTCCTGCTTTCCCACTCTTCGCTTTTTTGTCTTCACCAAGATCCTGCTTCCTTCCAGAACCACCAGTTCGGGCTCTCCTTTCCCCCTGCTTACAAATATTCTGAGTCACTGATCTAACAGAAACCTCATCGAGCTAAAAAAATATAAAAATCAGTTCATTCATGGCATAAGGAAGACAAGACCATGCAAGCAGAGAGTAAGAAGTGAGGGTGAACTATCCCCATCAAAGGCAAAGAGCAATGGGATCAGTATGAATTCCCTCACCAAATGAAGCAGGGAAACATATCAAACATACTGCATTTGATTCTTGTTTTAGTTGTTTACAGAGTTGTTTGTGCCCTTGTAAACCGCAGGGTCCTTCACCATTTGGTGAGGATTCCAAACGTGTGCAGGCATGAGCTGTACAGAATTCATGAAGTCTGGTCTACATGCTTTCATGTAGGTACACACTTGTAATAGGTAAGTATCCTTACATAATAAATGCTATAATAATTTTGTTTGTGAAGACACTTCATTGCATATACACTTTATAATTACATGCATCCTACTCATTTCACACCGATCAGTATTATTGCTTGTAATTTCAGTACTTCCAAAGACCATGGGATACTCATCTTTCTTTGAAAAACGTATTCAGAGGAGCAAACCAGTTAATTAAAAGTCAAAGTAATAAACTAAATTAACTCATGGTTTGAAAAGATTGTCATTTCCATAAACTGGTATCTTTAATTTGCAGTATAAGAGCTTGATCCATCCTGACAAAAATAATTCATCACAAATCATGAAAAACCTAATCTTTCACCTACTTTGCAGATTTATTAATTTTCACAGAGAAATGAATAAATGGGAATCTATCAATTTGGTTTAAAAATTAGACTTACCACAGACTTACTGTTATATTATTTTGTCATATGAACGTCATGAAAAAAAAAGGCAACAGAGAAGGATAAAAGAACTCAAAGTCCTGTTTTGTTTTAATATATGTTTACATATACATATACATAGGAATGTATCAAGGATAAGGCATATGAAATAATAACCATAAACCAGCAAAACTGTATTTGCCTAGCAAGTTGTAAGTTAATTTTCCTTATCTTCTCCTGCCTTTGCTTAATTTATAGGGATAAGAATACTTTCTGCTGAAGATCACCTGAACCTCCAGTTCTTTGAGCATCTTTCCTGGCCTGGCTTAGTCTCTCCTAATATGGTCCTCTGGGAAACCTTCAGAGTCATTTGACTCAGAGTCAAGGATGACCAGTGAATTACTAATTTTTCCCATTTGGATCCTTTCAGTAGCAGTTCTGTGTCTTGTGTGGAAGGAGAGCACATGCTTCTACTTTTGGGGTTTGCACCTGCAACAGGCTGATCAATTTACCACAGCAATGATTCTCCCCATCACACACATAGGCCTTCTCTTGGTGTTGATGTACATCTCCCATCACCTTTGTCTTTGCACTGTGATTATCATTCCTTCCCATTTTTTTATAAGTTTTCTGTATATTGCCCTTAATACATTCAGACTCTGCACCCTACCTATCTTCTCAATTTCCAGTTCATTGGCTAGCTTCTTTATTCCTCCTGCTATCCCATGTTCAATTTCTGACTATTTCTTCTCCTCATTCTGTATTTTAAAAATTGCTTTTTGGTAGTATTTCTGCTCCAGCTACAGATCTTTCCCTTGTCTTTAGATCTTCCATCGATCTCTCCTGAGTCTACTTTCGTTTTGTTCATCATAGGTGCATGTTTCTCCAACTGTACATGCTTTATCCTGGCTCATTCCTGCCACTTAATCTTGCAGACCATGACTGAATTCCACTATGCTTTTTATATCTTTACCAAATCACTGCATTTTAGCTGCAAATGCTGACGAGACACTTTTGGGATTTGTATAACTTCTGCCAGATAGCTGTTATCAGGCAATGTACATCCTGCAGATTTTGCAGACGTTAATAATCTCTCTGCCAGGTTTGTTTCACTTGTCCTAGTTACCAAATTCTCTTCCTGCTTATCTTAACACAGGTGAATGTACAACAACTTGCCCCTACAAACGACTACAAAAACTCTGACGGCCTTTTCTTCATTGTCTTCGCACTTACTTAAGTTTATAAGCGTGATCCTCTTTATCTGGATTTTATTTTATCCCCGAGCTCCAATTTCCATAACATTAACAAACAACAGGGAGCTGACTCTGCCTCACGAAACCCTGCGGAGAACTGGTGCTGTCGAGTGTCTCTTGAGAGCCCTCTAATGGCCATGGAAAACATCCCATACTTTGGGTTTGAAACTATCCCTGCAGAGCCGAGAGCCTTTCCGTGATGGCCTTGGTTTTGTTTCACTGATGCAAAATACCAGGCAGTACAACTGGTCCTTAATTATGCAAAAATATCCTTAACGTTTCAGGTGCTTCCAGACAGTGCCTAGGCACCAGTGCTTTGGAATTGCTGTACCAGATCACATCTGTACCTGGTGCAACTTTGCCCTCATGTTGAGGTGTTCCTGCAGTCTGTGCAGGGAAACCACCACTGAAATAAAAATTTAAGAAACGAAATAGTAAAGTAAAAACAAACCTCAATTTTTGTCTTTTATAAAACATTTGAAATTCTGTGAACAGATGATTTTTCAAAGCTCTAAAAGATAAAGTTTTCTCCAGAAAATTTCATGCCAGCCATATCATTGATACTCTATCAATAACGATTTTGTTTTATGAATTAACTTGGAGATTCTTATGACGGGGTATTGCTTTCTGCTAAAACACTACACAAACTGCTGTCATGTTGTTAGTTGTGTCCTTACAGAAATTCAGAAGGACTGTTCTGCAATGAAGGTACTGAAATGCTCTTTCCCTTTAAAACACCCATATACTTTGAATATGTTTTAAAATCTCTGCCACAGGAACAGTCATTCCGCTACCAGCAAGAATCCAATATTAAAGTCTTGATTGACCACCCCTGTCCCCTGTCTCCTCCAGAAGCTTTATTGGATTATTCAGTCCTGTTGGTCACCCTAATGTTCCTAACGTATTTATCTTTCTCCTATTTTGCTGCTGATTCAGCCCCTGCTGCCAGCTCACTCTGTGCACGCTACACACATCGGGCAGTTGTGATCACTGGAGGACTCCTGGCTTTTTCAGGAATGACACTGGGATTTCTTGGACTCAACATGGTCTGGATGTATGCAACAACTGGCTTCCTACAGGGTATGACTTTATGGCTTTATGAATTTCTTTCACCAGCAGCTCAGAGATCTCATTTGAGGGTACTAATGGTAGGAGTTTGAAAATCTGATTTCTATTTTGATTTTATGAGTGACTAGAACCAATATCCCCCCCTTAAAGGTAATTTCTCTCATGTCCCACTCTGGAAAGAAGAATTTGCACTATAAACCTGCAACGACTAAAAAGGTGAATAATCAAATGTTAGTAAATTTCACCTGCATATTATATGCAACCAGAAAATTGAAAGTGTTTTATTTTTCACTTAGAGCCAAGAATTCTGTGAAGTTTTAAAGAACATAAAGAGTGGTGAAGTACATGGAAACATAAAGATTCCAGATTTTGTGCTTTCTATCAAATAATCTGTTTTGTACACACCCCAAGCTTTCAGTTGATTCCAATCCCTTCTTTCCTATAGGTAAAAACAGGCCAGAAAGTTGTCTCCAACAGCCAGCAGATTTTCCTGGAACAGGAAGTGAAGCTGGCAGGCAATAAAATAAAGCATTCCCAGTTCCATGCTGGATGCCTGAGAAAATGTCTGGAATTTGAGCCCTTTGGCAGTCCTGGGCTGCCAAATAGTTTCTAGGCAGCCATTAAAATCACCATAAGTTAGAGCAAGTTTGAAGCATGGTCAAAGCAGTCAGGCAAGAAAATGAAGAGCAAACAGAGGTAACACAGCAACTTCCTTCACATCCTCCCTCACTTTCTACCCTAAATACAGCTCAGCTTAACCCAGTGATCTGATCTAGTACCAGCCTTAATTAGGATAGCACAGACACTCTGAGATCCATCTAGTTTCAATGACATAGCCATGTGATTTCTCACCCAGTGGGAAACCTGTCAAACTAATGTTGTTTGGGTTTTTTTCATAAGAATATAGAAGTGTACGCCTCATACTCCTGCTTTTTTGTTTGGATGTACAATGTATTCTTATAGGACACACACCACAAATAGACTCTTACAAATAGTACAATGGAGCTCATGCCCTTGCTAAGAGTAAAGTTGCTTTTCTTTTACCAGTTTTCAACTTTGCAAATGTAGGAGCATTGCTTGATTTAATTTCCACCTTCACAAAATACCTCAACAGTGTCTGACTGCTGCTATTTGTATTTGTGTTTTTCAGGACTTGGGATTTCCTTTTCATGGATACCAGCCATTAGCATTGTGAGCCATTATTTCTCCAAGAAAAGAGCTTTGGCCAGTGCTATTGCCAGTGCTGGAGAATGTGTCTTTGCATTCATGTTTGGGCCATTTTTCCAGTGGTTGATAAGTCAGTATGGATGGAAAGGTGCCCTCTTGATCATAGGTGGCATCCAACTCAATATCTGTGTCTGTGGAATACTGATGCGACCCCTGGCAAGCAGCTGCCTCCTTGAGGCTAGACATTATGAAACTGAGAGACCACCTGGCAATGGCGAATCTAGGATAGACAAAGAAGATAAGTCTCCTACTGCAAACAAAACCTTCAACTGGATGCTTCTGAGACAAACAGAGTTTGTACTTTACGCCATTTTTGGCATATTAGCTGCTATGAGTTTTTTTGTTCCTCCCTTATTTTTAGTTCCACTTAGTTACAGCCTCGGAATAGACGACTCATGGACTGCATCACTGCTATCCATTTTAGCTGTAGTGGACTTTGCAGGCAGGCTGCTCTGCGGCTGGTATGCCAATCTCCACGTTACCAAAACTGTTCATTTGCTGACAGTGACAGTTACACTGATCAGCACTTCCCTGATGCTGTTGCCACTGGCTAACAGTTACCTGTCCTTGGCAATATTCACTGGCTTCTATGGATTCTTCTTTGGTACAACAGTCGCCATTCATATTACAGTGCTAGCAGATGTTGTAGGCATGCCAGATTTTGACAGTGCTCTAGGGCTTTTCATGCTCATTCGAAGCACTGGAGGTTTTGTGGGACCTCCTCTTGTTGGTAAGTTAAGATGATACTCTGCCAAATACAGTTTACAAGAAGAAAGGGGAATGGTGACCCAAACTGAAAAAAATCTGTATCTGGACCCGAATTTTCCCCTTTTATACCTCAGGACTATGTGGACCAAAAAGTGTATAAAAACAGTCAATTTAACTCCTCTCCAAAATATCTTTCTCCCATTTTTATCTGTGATTTTAGAGATACCTGTTCAACATAAAGCAGGGAAAAATGGCAGAGTTCACATGGTGGTGTTTCTGCTTTCTGAATCCCACAGAATCCCATTTAGTGGACTCCCATTGTCTTGCTATGAAAGTGTAACCTTGGGACAAGCAGCAGATCCACATTTTCAGAGAAGAAACTGAGATTTGAAACTAATGATGTTGCATAAATGCTGGTATTGTTGGGAGGGTTTCTACAGAGCGTCAAGTGGAACAGCTTGAAACATGAGGCTATGTGTGCCTCAAGGAAAATATTACAAAGATGCCTGCTGTTTTCAGGCAGCATTTGAGCTAACCAATATAATGAATGGGGCAGGCAGCACATAAAAACAGTGGGAAGAGAAAGCAGACAATGAGACAGCACATGGATTTATGGGCTGGCAATGAAGCAAAATCATCTTGGAAAAAGCAAGACAAACAAGCTGCAAGCTGCAGAGACTTTACAAAATGATGTGGCAGGAAAATTACCAGTGTGACTTGTAAAATGAGGATCTGAGTTCTAATCCAAAGACCACTTTTCATGCACTACAGTAACTTTTGTGGTAATGACACCACTAATAGGTTGAAAATGGGTTAGACTGAATGCTGGAACATTTTAAGTCACTTTTAAAAATAAAAACCAGGAAGATTTATAGAGAATTTGAATCAGAGCAATACCAGAAGTACGTTGGGAATATCTGAATAAAATACAAAAGTAACAAGACATTTATGTAATGCCTGGTCACTAGTTTGTGACCTCTTTGGGTATATATAGTAAGCTAAAAAGAAAGTGTGGAAGAGGATGGAATCATAAATGCTCCTTGAGCTCTCCTCCCCTTTGTTAAAAGTAAAATTGAAAAGATTTGGATCCAGAGCTCCTTTGCCTAACAGGACTGATGTTAGGCAAATGGGGAATGGGGACTAGGGAATACACTTAATGTGGACAAACTTCCCAATGGAAGACCAAGCAAGCAGCCCTCATGAGCCCACAAATGAACCTGCCATCATACCCACAGAGCACTCAATTCTACTACATATACTGCTGCAGTACTGCATTCAGTACTTTGGTTGGCTTAAAACTACCTAAACCCCAGACTATTTTATTAACATCTGTGACTCTTTGTAAAATAATGAACAGGAAAGCCCGTAACGCTTCAGGCAACCTCTCCAACTGTGTCTCCAGCAGATGCTTCTCCATTTCTTCTTTAACCTCTCTCATGCTGTACTGTTATGGTTCCAAATTATAGCAACCAGTGGCAGCTACACCACAGAACATGGGGCTACTCAGACACAAAGCTGCATGATTAGTTTTTTTCTGCCTTTATTGTCTGCCATGGTTTAGGTTGGAAAGTGCTTCAAACTGTATAGTGTTTTATTTCTGTAGCAGTTCACATATGCAAAGTAAATGAGATGTAAGTTGTGTTCAGATTTAAAAACGATATAATGGGGTAATGTTCCATGCACTCCTGATGTAGAAAGCTGATGTAGTCAGCATACTCACTTTGTGAGAGGATGTGTTCACACTGCTGAGATAATTCACATAAGCCTGCTTTCTATCAACCATATTGCTCTTATTTGTTTCTTTCAGGTCTGATCGTGGACATGACAGGAGATTATAGAGCAGGCTTCTACATGGCAGGAGCAACTCTTATCCTATCAGCTGTGTTTTTAGTTACTTTAGATCAGCTCCAACAGAGAAAAGAAAAAGGGACCCAGACCAATACTAAACAAGAAAACTCGATGTTACACTATTCTACCCTCCATCTCCTGAAACTTCAAACCAAAAGGTATCAATAACATGATGTAGTGGTGTGACTGTATTGGATATCTTACAGCATTTCAGGAGATACAGAAGTATTTTCTCTGAACTCAATATAAATAGGATTTATAAAATGATGGGAGTTTTGGATCAGAATGTTTGAAACTGAGGAAGAAAATCATTTAGCTTATAAGGAAACCACACCAGTAACCATTAGCATATTATTTTGATGTTGGAGTTGCATTCTGACTACAAGTCTTCAACACAGTCCCCCAGGGCTGTGATAAGCAAACTAGGGAAACTGTGGTCTAAATGAACACATGACACATATATGCAGCAGGTAGAAACCCCAAACACAGACTGCAGCCATAACTATCAAATAGGAAGAGGTGTCATCATCACAGATGTTCAATGTAGGGAAATAGTGTTCAGTACTTCCAGTAAACAAGTTGGATGTGAAAGCAAGAGTACATGAAAATATGTTTGAGCTAAAGGCAGGTACTCTACAGAGCAGAGCTGGAATCCGAAAAATAAGTAAACCTGATAAGTGGGGAAAGTTACATGAACAATAGAAATATCAGAACTAAAAAACAATACACACAGGCATAAAATGGAGAACGATTGATGAAAAACAGAGGAAGACATAAGGCTACAGTGGACTTCAAACCAAGTAAGAATCCCAGATGCAACCCTGTATTAATAACAGTAAATGTCTTCCTGTGTTATTGTAAGATAGAGAAGATAATGGTGCTTGTCAGGCTTCAACTTGAAGAGGTATATAAGTTGCAAAGAATTAAGCAGAATAAGAATGAGAAGGGTTAAGGAAGCAGCCTAAAGAAAAAGTGTGAGAAATTAAGTTTGTCTGATTTAGAAGACAAATGTTTTACTGAGCATGAGAACAGCCTTCAAATCCACAGTAAATTGAGATAAAAAAGACAAAGTTAATTCCTTTCCTTGTTAAGGTAATTAGTAATTGATAGAATTTACAGCAAAGCAAAGTTGTGTAATAGGGGAAAAATCTTCACTGTAACCTGTTAAGCATAGAAACAGACTATAGGGAGAATATGAAAACAGAGGTATTAGAAAATAGATAAGATATGGGAGAGAATCTAAATATATTCAGTTGTGCTTCAGAACAGTGGGATGGCCTAGATGACTTCCTGAGATCCTCTTTAGTCCCACATTTCGCTATCCTGAGGCTCTCTGAGCAAATATGCAATTTATGAGATTCAAAAAAGTATGTATCCAAATCACAGTGTTTTGGTTCATTTTATTTTACCAGGGGGAAGAGAAAACGTAGAAGAAGAGAGAAAGGGTTAGGTCATATTGTAAAAAAAAACCAACACAGAACAGTAAAAGGGAAAAAACATAGCACTTGAAAGCTTTGCAACTATTACAAATACCATGGCTGCCTTAGTTATGAACTTCAGAAATTTTTACCATTAAAACACTTAACATGTGAAGTCAAATTTAAATGTAACTCACTTACCTAAAATATTTTTTTCTTGTCTCATAAGAGTATCAATTATTTCAAAAATTTAATTTAACTTTCAGGAAAATTACTGAACCACTAATAAGTCAACTAACTGTAAGGGTTTGATTGTGGAACACATGTTGGAAGGGACACAACTGGGTGGGCAAAATCTTATAACAAGGCCCTGAAATTTCTGACAAAACATTTTTCAATCTTGTTAATTGAAAAACTTAGATTCTTCTAGAAAGTATTATTCTCCAGTCTTCTGCAGTGTTCCAAAATTTAAAATAACTCTTCATTTTTCTAAAGTGAAAGGAAATGGGAATTGTTGGAGGGTGGAGAAATGGAGAGATGTTTAATAGATGCAGCTTCCACCTCCAAGTTTCTGTTAAAATTCTTTACATGAATTATTTACAAGCCCTGTATTTTGCTATGCCCTGACATCTGGCACAGTCCATAAAGAAGGCTGGCGGCATCCTGGGCTGTGTGAACAGGGGAACATACAGCAGATTAAGGGAGGTGATATTCCTCTCTGCTCCACAGCTGTGCCTGTGCTCTGGGACAAAGTACAACTGCTGGCTGTGTATCTGTTTAATAGCACAGAAGTACCACCTAGTGTTAGTATTAATTTGCCAGGTCCCCACCAGTCTGAACAGGCTTCTGTGACACTGTGAAAGGAGACAAAAAAAGTCATTCTTTTATTCCTTTTTGCTAAATGGAACTGATCATGCGGACACTCTCGTCAGCTGATGTCTATGTATCTGTTTAATATCATAAAAGAAGTCTTAGTGTTCACATTAATTTTGGGACTGCTTTTACTTCAGCAATATTCCTAGTTGAGTTTCACTGGACTATTGCTGTAGGAATTATTTGCAAAGGGCTGTTTTTTTTTTCCAAGCTGCTAATGATGTAGTCAGTGTTGCCTATATTCAGTTTCTTCAAACAAAAAGCTTCTGAGATTGCCTTAGAGACCTAAATCAGCAGCTTACCTGCAAGGAGTTTCTGACCCTAAACCAGTTAGATACTCAATGGGCTAAACAGGACTGTGAGGCTTCAGAAAGAGCCATCATTCTCTTGAATGGCCTCCTGAAATTACATGCAAGGAAAGTCATAGCTGTGCCTCACTTTGATAGTGCCCAACTGCATCCAAAAGGTTCTCACCCATAGAATCATAAAATCGTAGAACCATAGAATAGTTAGGGTTGGAAAGATCATCGAGTTCCAACCCCCCTGCCATGGGCAGGGACACCCATGATTGGTTATCTTTCATCTCATGGAAATAGTCCCATAAATCTGAACAATCAGCTGGCCTCAGAACCTGCAGTCAACCATGGACAAAGTAGCAGCAGAAAAACACTGCCAGAAAACTATCCAATCCTTTTTCTTTGGAAAAACAAGATACAGGAACACAAGCACCATTGCATTCATTGCGTCCTCTTGGCATAGCTACTAGAGGATTAAGACTACCACTTCTTTTTTACTGTACTTTGTTCAGAGATGGAGCAAAGGGAGATGGGTCTGACACTAAGGACCACAGTTTCACTTTGAAATCATCTGAGGGGGAACTTAGATTCGTGAACCAGGCTTTCAGCACAGTAACGCATTAAAGGTGTCTGTACAAGGCAGTCCACGGGACAACATGTTGCTTCCTGGAGGTGCCTCAGTTGAGGCAGCAGCAATTTGAGGAACAGCTTCTTCTCAAAAAGCTCCAAATCAGACCTCTAGTAGAAATGGTCTGCCCTGGAAGCCAGATAATACCTACTTTAATCACCAAATCATGGAGAAATGAGGATCTATAGCACCAACTGAAAACATATAGTATCATTATTCGATCTTACAGTACTTTTGTTACTGTTAATGTAGATTTAGCACTGAAATACTTGAGCCTTTCCATTGAAATTTCCATAAAACTCAAAATTAAAGCACTGACAGAGCTAGCAGCACTGCCTTGGAGAAATAAGGTTTTGTAAAAAAAACTGAGATCAGGACCAGGACATGATATTTCATCTTCTCCATCCAATTCTTCAATAGCATCATTGTGTATCTACATACCAGATGGCACCGCATATCCATGAGAAAGTTGATCTTTTTTTCCTTCCTTGTTAGACTATTAATAAATGAGTCATTCAGAACACAAAATACCCAGTCAAATACAAAATATTGACATTTTGCCCCATCCCTGCCGGTGCTGGAGGCAGGAAGGAGCAGGCAATGATTCTGGTGTCACATGGATTTTCTCTAGGTCTGAAGTTTGATTCTGACAAGAACAAAAGGTACCCATCATCCTCTCCCAGAAGTGAAGCTTTTCTTTGGGAAAACAGATGATTTATGATAAACACTAATAGATTTTCAGAGTGCTACAGAAGTTACCATTGCTTGGGAACTTAATAGGCTTGATGGCATACACTTACCATTTTACAGACATGGGTATCTACAGAAACTTTCTCTGTATTTCTTTCACTTTTTAAACTCTATTGAGTTCTTCTGGAATAATATCAGAGCAACAATCAAACATTTGGTCAAATGAGCAAGTTTATGCTCCTTACTAATGTTTATCATTCTTCCTCCCGTTATTTTTCCTTCTGCAAAAAATGTGTTGTTTCAAACTTTAATGGGTCTAGCAAAAACAATTAGATCCTTCTGGTGTTAATCACACAGTGACTGAGGTTGAAAGGGCTCTCTGCAGGCCATGCTATCCAAGCCCTTGCTCCAGCATGATCAATTGAATCCCATTGCTCAGCACCATGTCCAGACAGCTTTCGAGTATTTCAGAGGCAGGAGACTCTCCAGCTTCTCTGGGCAACTTCTGCCAGGTTTCAGTTACCCTCATGGTAAAAAAGTGTTTCCAGATGTTCATGGGCACCTCCTGTTTTTCACTCTGCACCCACTGCCTCTGGCCCTGTTACTGTCACTCTGGGCACCACCGTGAAAACATATCCAAAACCAGATCAGATTTTTACCATAGTTAGGCAAAGCGTAGAAGCAGATAAATGGTCTGGCTCTTCCTAGCCCTGCACTAGCTAAGAACATTGATGTCAAGACTTCTCATTTGATTTCCTAGGGAAATGGTTGTTGATCTCTCACACTCTCTGTTCTTTCCTGTAAACTTTTGAATCTGTCAGCCATTTTCAACCACATTTGGAGCCAGGTTCACAGCTTCAAAAATAAATGAAAACTTCAGAGTTTAAGTTTGAGTCCTTCAAACTTAAAAAAAAACCTAGAAAGTGGCAGGACATTAATGGTTAATTGGGAAAAATGACAAGCATAACGTGGCTCTCCTTTTTAGATTTTTTTTAATATGACAGTAACTAACACAGTACCCAGACTCACAATTAGTCACAGACTGCCTTTTCTTGCCTGGTATTGTAAATGGAATTACTGCAGCATGAGCACAGGCAGTTAACAAAAGTGAAGCACAGGCTTTGTTAGTTCTGCAGCCCATGGGGCAGACTCTCTTTTTGTTGCAGCAGCTGCTTACCAGTACAGAATTAAACTGCACTTGCTTTAATCTAAACACTTCTACCATGGAATAACAGCATCCATCTACAAGTTCTGCCCCAACTATACTGGTTTCCACAGTGCTAAACAGTGCAGAAAGTGTGCATAAACAGAGCTATAGTTAAACATGTGAAATCACCAGCCCTCTGCCACAAAATAATCATCCCTAAATCAAAACAGATTTGAATTTAGAAGTAGTCAACCCACTCTGGCAGCTTGTACTGATTAGGGAGGTAAAACAGTGTTGAGCCATTTCTTAGAGGATATGTAATAAATGAAGACATAGCAAACTTTTTGAGCTGCTTGTCAGGAGGGAAGGATGCAGACTCTAGGAAAAAAAATAAAAGTCGTCTCCTTGCCTCTTTCATGCTAATTAATGCATTCAGAAGCTGTATTGAGAGGAATTTAAACTCGTGATAGTCATAAGAGAACAGATCAAAGAAGAAAAAACAGAGCAAGTCAAGGAGAAGAAAGCTGCTCATGCCTTTCAGTTAACAGACAGAATACACGTCTGAAAGAGGTGAGATTTGTATTTTTTTATTCTATGCAAAATTTTCTGTGTTGCTTCAAAACTGTGCTTGAGAAGAGATATAACTGCCTCTAAGGGAACTCTGAAAATATTCTGTTTCCTTTAGATTTTATATACTTTAACACACTTTTTGTACTTTACTTGTGTAAGGTAGGCAGATAAGCTGGATACTATCAAGTAGGATCTGTTCTGCTCTTTAAATGACAGAAAAATTATTTTTGTAATTCTTCTTTACTGTTTGATCAATAAGATTTTTAATTGTTCAGACATTTAGCTGGATGATTATTACATTAAGACTGGAAATTAAGATTATAATACAAATTCCCGCACATCTAACTATAGACTGTCATCAGACACAAATTAGTATAACCATCTGAAAAACAACAGATCTCTGAGTGTTTATGCTGGTTCAAAATGTGGCCCTTGGAACGTTTACAGACAATAACAGAAATAAAGAAACAACTACTTCAACTCTTTGAAAGGACAATTTTAATTTCATTTCTTCTGAATAGTTTTTCTTGTCCGGGTAATTTGCCTTTCTTTCTATATTCCTGAGAGATTTCACTTCAGAAGTCAGCCATCACTTAGTACCTGAAGAAACCATGCCAAATTCTTCTCTGTTGCATTCAGGTGCAAATGCCTTGACGTCAGTATAGCTATGCAAACATAGACTACAGTTGCAGTTTTGAGTTTGAAATCGAGACTGTCGCATATGTATATGAATCTACTTGATTCTGACTATATCCGATTGTCCTGCCTCCCTAGAATGCTCCCATTAAAACAAAAAAGTTGATAATATGCTTTATCATTGCACTGAGGCACTGTATTTCCATCTTGCAGGCTTGAGCAGGACCAAGCTCACAACATGCCCGGAAGAAACCACCATACAGATGGCAACTTTTTCAGAGGGAAAGGACATGGCTATCTTGCAGCAGAAGAGTAAGCATAAAGCAAAACAAAATAGTATCAGAAAATGTCACTGTTGAATATATATGGAGTACATTTTAGCTATCCTGTAATTTTTGTCATTGCAGAATCATTAAGAGCCCTCAAAGGTTAAGAAAAATCAGACTTCAAGAATCTAGATTTTGATCATATGATGATAAGTCATTATCCTCTACAATAAAATTACCAGGTTTATTGAGACTTATTTAGAATTTTCTTCTGAGGCGGTTGCAAGGTGATCTTTTTCACTGAGTTTTACCTCCAGATCCATATGCCTCTCTGCAGGACCTCAAAGGGACATTGTCTCACCCTAAAGAATCGTGTAAGTGAAAAGCCTAGAGAAACAGAAAAATATCATCAAAAAGCAGATGGAGACATCAATGCCATACAAATGTGACCCTCAGTAAATTGTTTGGTGAGACTCCACTTAAGCAGAACTAATTCAGGCTAATATTTTGTTAGTTTTGTCTGACAATAAAATATGTTTGGTCTTTGATTATTAGACACACTGTGGCACTGGGGATATATTATTATTTTAGATAAGTATTTCCAATGTGCTTGGGATATGTCTATGTGAAATGTGCTTCTGCTAGTGGGTTAGTGGACCCCAAACTTGGTGACCTGTGCCACACACATACAGCAAGATACTTGTTTCTCCATGTTCATCCCTAGGCAGAGAGAATAAACAAAGGAGAAGGTTCTCTCATAGTGCTTTCAGAGTAGTTCAGCTCTCCAAAAGCTGGCTGCTTATGTCTCAACACTTGAAACTAAGCACTTTCACCTGTAACTGCTATGAATTCCAGTGGCTGCAATTGTAAGCAGATTTTCTAGGTATGTGAGGGAAAAGTGACTCTCTTCCCAGTATCAAAAGGAGCATTCCAGATATAAGCACAGATTCCTAATAGAACAGCTCCATTTTTAACTGGAATTGCAAGAAATTGCATACATGCTTTTCATACTAGCCTCTTAAGCAAGTGAGGAAGGAGTTAGATGGCAAACACACAGTTAGAATCATCAACTCCATAAATTAGGTATATCCTGGGGAGGGGATAAAGGCTAACGAACAGCTAAAACTAGAGTGCACGTGAAAAGCAGAAAGCACTTTGTATATGTAGAATGTAGAATGTAAGAAAGGCAGCAGTTGCTTGGAGAAGCAGTCCCTCCAAGTTTTAACTGTGCTGGGGACAGGAACAAAACCAGTGGAGCAGTCTTGTAAGTCTGAAGATCAGCTGCAACACAACTGCACCAGGAAGGAAGTTGATGCCGTGAGCTCTATTCTTGGGTTGAACAGATGAACACAAAGTCTTGAAGGGGCAGGAGCAACTTGCAAGACTCAGGTATTTGTGAAGAAGAAAATCCCTTTGGGTCCATGGGGCTTTATGCTTCAAACACCAGTTGGGCAGTTCAGACGAAGAAACAGCCTGCTCTGCCATCTGCTTGCATCTCCTTTCAGGCTTCTTGGGTCACAAGGAATCACTCCTTCACGAGACTCTGAGTCAGTGAAAATGATAGCAAATAGATATAGAGGGTCTCTGATAAGTCACATACCCAACTCCTCAGTCCCAATGGAAAAGCCTGGCAAAAAAACACCCTGCAGGGCAACTGAACAGATGATATGTAAAAATGTGTTAGGACGGGTTTGTCCCAGCTCATGTGGTCTTTTTTTTTACTGTCCTCTGTTCCCTTTAAGCATTTTGCAGACTCTTCTGCTCCTGAACAGGTGAAGAACAAAAAACAGGGGGAGTGAATTTCATATGCCTTATGAGGGAGGAGGAGGTTTTTTTTGTAACTAGGAAACTTGCAATTACTTTGTCAGCTTGTTTTCTGACAGATAGTGGAACTGTGCTGCGCTGCTTCTCCCATGTCCCTGGTAAGCAGTGGGAAGGATGCCTTACAGCACAGTTTGCAAAGCCTAAGTTCCCTAAAATGACCCAGTGACACTGGTACTGTGCCGGGCGTGTCATGGAACAAGAACTGAAGAATTACACAGCTCTATCAATAATTCAAAGTTTCCTGCTCTGGTTTTGAGGTTGCGCAATGTTTCACATACCCAAAAAAACCCCTCCTGTCACCAGTAGCTGTTGCAATATAATGCAATTAGGGTACATTTCTCAATACTTGTTGCCTAGAGAAATTTAACAAATGAACATGAGCCGTGCCTCTGCAGGTGTGGCATTTACTAATTTCACATTGTCTTCCATTATTGCAATGCAGGGATTTTTTTAGAAGCAGTAGTCACTGTTACACCATTATCTTTGAACCAATGCATTCCTCATTTTAAAATGCTTAAGAGAATATCAGAGAATTAAGCTAACTGCTTAATGTAGAGACTGGCTAAAGTTATTGGTATTTCGTCCAGTTTCTGAGGTGAATTATGCTCCATTCCTTTCCCTGATAAAAGGATACTTGATACAGACTGCAAACTTGCTCCCATCAGTCTTGCTCCCAGATGAATGCACCTAGTTCTGGTGTTATATTGTTTTGCTTTTCCAACAGAGCCCTGGGTATTGGACTTTTCTTTTTGGTGCTGGCAATTTTATTTATCTTTGGCTGCTGGTATTACAAAAGACGCAGTGGCTACAAAAGTCTACGGGTAAGCATGGCAGTTTGTGTTCTAGTTTGCTATTATTTTTATGTATTATTGTTATTTGCATTATGTAAGTGCTGAGAACATTGAGTCTGTAATAGGACATCATTGTCTCAGGCAGTATATACACCGACATATACACAGGTAAAACAACACAATGTGAAACACAGCTTGCCCTGAAGAACTTGACAGTCAGGCAAAGTGGTAAGAAGAAGCAGGAGCAGAGGGAGATGATACCAGTTGCCCAACTTTGCCCAACACACCACTGGATGCAGCTAATTGTAGTATTATATTTAACACACAAACCCAAGATGTTTTCTGTGTATTTTCATTTAAATAAAAATAACATATTCACTGCTCATAAGATTTACCCCTAAATTAGGACAGATATATTTAGAGTAAATCTGGGAAGCAAAGCAGAAAAATAACTGTTACAGGTAAGTAAGCAAATACTATGTTAGTGTATGGGCAATGCATGATTATTTGTATAAAAGTCAAAATGCAATTTTAACTTGTACAAAAAAGCAGGGCAGGTTTGAGGTTTGCTTTCTAAACACTACTTAGTGTCTTCTTAAAATATATTAAAAAAGGTACAATCCATCTTGTAACTTCTGTTATTAGAAGTCTCAAAGCTTTATCTTTGAAGTTCTGCTCTCTCTACTATGAAAGAGAGGTCACTTTTAATCTAAGTTGAAAGCTGTATCCAATTATATATTTTACAGTAAATATATTTTAGTTATTCTAATATTTTGGAAAAGATGTGACTACGTGGAATTAAAAATCATACCGCTCATTTAAGTCAGCAAACCCATTTCATTGCTGTTTCTGATAACTTTGTCTTGTTATCTTTCCAGTGACCTATCTTAAACGTGTATCAACTAGCAGAATACATAAAACATAAGTTTTCATAATGAAATGTTTCAAAAATGAAGGTAATACTGGAAAAAAAACCACCTCCTTTGAAAAGCAAACCAGAATTCTTTCATGCCTGCTTTGTACCTCATGGGAAAAAAAAACACAATCTCTTTTTTAATTCCTTCTCTTTGCAAAATGCTGCTTTTTGGTTTTGAAAATCAAATTTTTGTTAGGTTTTTTGGCTAGGGGAGAACTGGTACAGAATGGCTACAAAAGAAATGATGGAAGAATAGAACACAATAAGGTTGGAAATTAAAGAAAGAAATGGGTGGGATAAAAAGGAGATAGCATTCAGGTATGTGAGCAGGTCAGTTCCTACAGCAGCCCTGGACCTAAAAAGTTTGATCCTTATTTTTCTGGCAATGCAATTGAATAATACAGGAGAGACAGTATGTCTCAGCAGAGACAGGAAGAACAGATAGTTAGATAACCCCTCTTACTTGGTGGCACTATGTCTATCCCTAACCCTAGATTCTAATCCATAGTGTAAATGTGCTGTCAAGTATTAAACACTGCATAATTTACTCCAACTTCACATTTTCTTCTTTCTTTCATCTTCTGCGTATTTCCTCATTATTTGTCACAGAGCAAAAGTTCTGGTGTGGGCACAATAAGAACCGCAGTAGGTGAAGGAACAACGCTGGACTGCAAAATGGCTCTGCAGGAGTACAGAAACTTTAATTCTGTGGTAAGTTTCATTTATTTACAACACAGTAAAACATGGTGAGACAATCTCAGTAAACAATGATTTCTTTCTAGGGGTGTGCTCTCTATATTAGGTTTTCAGTGCCTCTACATTACATTAACTTAAAAAGTACTATTATTCTGAACTATTTTTTTTACTGGGAAAAGGGGTTTCTAAACCCACTATGGAAAATTCTGCTTTTAAAAAAGTCTCTCCTTTCACCTACCTTTATTCTTAAGTTGTATGATCATTATGCAATCTATTAGAATGCTGTAACACCTCACTTCTGAAATGTACTGAATAGACAAACACCTCGCGAGCAGGTGTCCCCTTTGCCATTCTGATAAACAACAGATTGTATCTGGTACACTATACCCCAACAAAGATTATCAGGGAACATTATAAAGCTTCAAGGTTTTAGCTCCTCTAATCATTATGGAAAGAAGAACAGTGAAACCCATAATTTTAAAAAAGTTAAAGTAACTTAATTTATAAAGATATATGTCAATGGTGTATTTAATAGTTTTAGAATAGGGAAAAGGCTAATGTACAACCAATTTTAAATAAGCTGTCCAAATTGTTACCATTTGAAATAAGACAATGTACCTGTGTCATAACTCTTAAAGAAAAGTTTCAATATTATTGAAATAATAATTTTCAATTATTATTTTTAATTAAAAATTGAAATTTTTAATTAAAAATTTTCAATTAAAAAATAGAAAAAAATCCTTTAAGATTCCTGTCCTTTTAACCCTAAAAATTTTCTCTTTGGATGAATGATTCAAACAATATTCATTTAATCTGAATGAAAACCAAAGACCATACTAGCAAAAACTAACGTCATAATTTCCTTCTACCTGTTTTTTCAGTCTTTCACACACATTTTCCTTACCACAGGTACCTGATGCTCCACCAGCTTATGACAAAATCGCTGCAGATCACTCACCTCCACCTTATTCACCGTAATAGGAGATCTTGAACTCTAATTTATCTTAGAGTTTTTTCTTAAACCGATTTGATTTCTTCATGCTCCCTCTTAATTTCCTGCACATGCTTAACTTTCTTAAGGCTAAAATAATGTGAAAAAAATCACATGCTTTCACTAACAGTTGCTGGAATTTTTGCTGCTCAGTTTACAGAACTGGTTCTTGAAAAGCCTCAATAAATCTGAATGTGCTGCTGTTTGAAGTTTTTCATTTCCTGTCACCAGATAATACACTGTACTCAAGTCTGGGGATCTTGCATCCTTCACAGATCTACCAAGAATAAGTACATACCAAGGAGTATCAACCAGAATAGAAAGTGCTGTTTTCATCTTTCCCACTTATTCTCTAAACTATTCCCTAGACGGTAATGTACAAGAATCTGTCATAAAACAGACAAAATCATTTGACTACATGTCCTGTGACAAAGAACAACCATTTTCCCTACCAGCAGTTCTTCCATTAACCAGCAAAAAGCAACTATGTTTATAGCAGGCTTTTACCTCACATCACTTGTTTATGTACTTGCAATGAAATAATTCCTCACCAAACATGATCCAGACAATCCAGGAATTTCTATTTAGAGTCCATGTTATTTTATACAGGTCACTGGGTATAGTGATGACGACGTTTAGCTTCCTTCTGGCAGTCTTGTAAGAAAGTAAAAGAACTTGTCAGATGCAGAGCTTTATGCGTCATCTGTTTCTAATGTGAAGAAACAAATACAAGAAAATGTGTGAAGCCCATGTTCCTTGAAGAATACAGGAGACAGCAGGCTCCAAGATATCAATTCTTTCAGGCTGATAGAACGCTAGCAGTAATAGTAAACAAAGAATTGTGATACAAACAGATTAGGCTGCACACATTTGGAAGTTACTGTTTACTTAGCCTGTTTTGTTACTGTTTACTTGCCAGATTATATACTGATCAACACATTTATACCCAAGACCTGATGTCTCAAAGCAGGAGGCAGCTAAAACTGAACATTTGTTAAAATGAAAAGTAGTTACAGAAGAAAACTATTTTCGTGATCCATTTAACTGTTACTAGTAAAAAATCCAGTTCTTTGTTATCAAATAGGCAGACACAAGCACTTTAAAACAAACAAAAAATTAAACACAAGGGAGACTTACTTGCCTTACACAAACTCATCATGATAAACATTATGGTGATAAATAATAAGACATAGGTTTTTGGAAATGTTTCTTTTTTAATAAAAGTTTATATAAATTCATAAAATTAGGTACTTGTTAGAGGGTAATAAATATGTCTGGTTTTATAAATTTAGTAGCTATTTGTATTTAGAAATCTGTATTTAGAAATATGAGTCATTTCCAACATACACCTTCAAGGAAAAAATTCTGCGGACTTCTTTAGTGACAAGAAGAAAAATACACAGGAAAATACACAAAATGCCAGATTATAACTAGTCAGCTCCAGAGATGTAGAACACAACGGCTGACTATTTTTTGCAGATCTGGTAAGCTAAAGTTTGAGGCTAATGATCTTTAGCAACTGTGTACTCCGCAATTCTATTGTAAGGCAACATCCTTTCAGAAGACTGTGTGGTGCCACAGTTGAATCTAGCTGACATACGCATTCATGGCTGAGAAAAGAAATAATTTCTATAAAGATTAACTACTATAAAGATGTGAAGTACTTAGAGTTCAACAGTTTTACTTGATCCCACACATTTTTCAGTCATATCAGCATTAAGCATGTTACCAGCCATTTCAGAAGCTCATGAGAAAGTTAACACTGATCAAGTAGAAACATTTCCAGAACTACATAAGGCCAAATTGTTGGAACTGTTCAGCAGCCAGAGCTGGAACTGTTGAACTCTGACATTAATTTATAGACACTTAAAGGATAGGTAAGCTCTCTTGGAAACCATCTTTAGTTTTCAGCCTTCCCAGTTTTCCTCCCTGTGAAAGCAGTGTTCTTTATTTATAGACACAGACAGTAGTCTCAGATTTTAATTAGTGCATAGAAATAAGAGCAAGAAATAGAGCTTCATAGAAGTCTGTATTATATAGGTGGAAGCTTCATCAGCTACACTAAACACTCCCACAGATTCCATTTTTCAATCTGACTCTATACTGAATGAGGGTACACTGGAGAGGCTGCCTGCTGATCCATTAAAAAACACCAACAGAGGACAGGTCAGAATCTGAAAGCCAGAGACCTGTAGTTGCCAAAGTTGCATGCTGCAAGAACGGGCTACATTACAGTTACTTTCGGAATTACATTCAATCACACTGCAATTCACTAAAGATAAGCTAAAATTTTCTAGGAAGGCTGTCCCCTTAAGAAGGAAGAGAAACTTTGCAGCTACCACACATGCAGAACATAGTGCAGAGTTCTCAAATTTCCATGAAAGGCTGTCGTATTAGACAGTCATATGCCCCCAGAGTAACAAATGGTCACCAAAATTTTGATTTATGCTTTCTCTGGCATGGTCATTTTTGTACAGAAAGGGTGCAAAAGTCAAAGATCTCCTGTTCCTCCTTTTTTACACACTTTCCAATCAGGCTGCTATAAGATGTCTTGTATTACAACTATAATTCTCAACAAACACGGTATTTGTGCTTTATTTTCTTCCACCAAATGAGCAAATAAAGAACCCATGGGCAGTTTGGGTTCTCCCCTGGGATGCTGACAAAGTAAGGTGTCTGGTTGTACCTGGAGAATGAAGCTCTGCTTGGTACATTCACATTAAATGGCTTCCATGAGAGAAGTAAGCATCAAAGTTTTTCTGTACAAGAGGAGCTTACCAATATCTACAGCTATGCATGCAACCATCACGTAGATACAATGAACAACTTGGAAACAAGGCCTTTCATGGACACAGCGTGTTTTGGTCAAATTGGTAAATTACAATGGCAGCAGCAGTTGCATTGTCTGTGTTTGGATTCCTTGTATGATCCTGCTGGATCATCTACATCCTGATGAGGCTGCAAGCCTCAATTTAGTCTTAAGACTCCAGAATATTGCTCAGCCATCCCAGCCACAGCACAGAGACAAAACGCAGCCGGTGCTGACAAGGGCAATATTCCCGGCATTCTGAACCATGTAGTGTGGTTTAAACTCAGTCAGCCACGCAGCCTCGCTCGCTCACTCCCCTCCTTCTTCCTTCCCCCCGCTCCCGAAGGGATGGGGAGGAGAATCGAAAGAATGTAACTCCCATGGGTTGAGACAAGAACAGTTTAGTAACTAAGGTATAACACAAACCACTACTGCTACCACCAGTGATAATAATGACAAGGGAAATAACAAGGGAAGAGAATACGGTACCACCAGCTGACTGGTAATACCCAGTCCAACAGACCAGTGAACCAGCCGTTTGGGGTAACTCCCAGTTACATCCCGGGCATGACGTGCTGTGGTACGGAATACCTCTTTGGCTAGCTTGGGTCAGGTGTCCTGTCTCTGCTTCCTCACAGCTTCCCCTCCTCCCTGGCAGAGCATGAGACTCACAAAGTCCTTGGTCAGACTAAATATTTGAGCAGTAACTAAAAACATCAGTGTTATCAGCTCTGTTCCCAGGCCGAAAGTCGAAACCACAGCGCTGCACCAGCTACTAAGGAGAAAAAATGACTGCTACTACTGAACCCAGGACATGTAGCAAAACATTCAAGGGGACAAGAGCCATAGCGTATATACTGCACACATCAGAGAGCTATGGTAAAAGAAAGTACCAAGGACTTTCTGCAGGAAGCACTTGTTTATTGGAGTCTCACTAGACCAGTGTAACAGGACTGGCATATGCTGCTGGTTGACAAGACAATCGGGTGACATTCATCTCAACAATCTCTGTTGATTAAACACCTGCTGCAGCTGGGAATGTAGACAGACTATCTTGGACTCAAAAACTGTACTAGTATTAACCATATTGCTTGTAATTTTTCAGTTAAACAAAACATTCTATTTTGATTCATATTTATGTCTAATATTGGTAAAATATCCACTATTTTGCTGGTGTATGAGCATGTACTTATGTGACTTAAGAATACCTTTTCTTGCCTTTAAAAGCAAGTTTATTTTCACTTCTTACGTAAAGAAAGAGGTTAATGAAATCCTCTGTGCTTTGGAGAAGTAGCATTTACTTGTGTGCTTTTCTGCTGACTGCACATTATTGTGCAACAAAACTGAAAGGCTGTTGTATGTTCACACCATTTCATTGAACAGATTTTGTTGACCATTAAATCTGAAAAGTGCTTTAAAGTTTCCAGTGTTGTCTTTTGGCCGCATATCAGCACTGAATTTTATGTACACTAATAAAGGTAAAGTAGCAGCAGGGGAGACTTTAAAAGGGTGTCTACAGCTACTATTTACACAACACATCCATGCTGACAGCTAAAAACCAGCCCTTGTGCACCTTTTGGAATTGACCCTTTGTATTCTGCATCCTTACACAATCCTCCAATTTAGTTTACTTCCTTTCCCCAGAAAGTCCTTGGCTCAAGTGCTGGCTGGTTTCTAATGAACAGAAACAACTATTACTTCCTTTGCTCCAAATTCTAGCTCTTCAAGACATTTTGACCACATAGGTTCTACTCTTGGGCAAATATGAAAGACCACACTTTTGAGGGTAGCAATGTTCCTAAATGCCTTGTGCTCATGGGAATATGAATGACAGACCCTTGTCCATCTCATCCTCATCCTCCCTAAACGGTCTCTCAAATTTACCCATCCAAAGAGAACCAGAGCCTACTGAGCCCTATTCTACCAGGAAAAAAAGGGGGAGAATGTAGAATTCAATGTGTCAACACTACTGACACCAAAGCTACAAGCCACTGTTACTGTCTTCTCTAGTTCCCCCAGAAAACTTTTGCCAGGTGATAGCAGTAAATTCCACTCTTGCTGCAGTCACATGGGCCAGTCCTTGTAAGGAATTAAAAGGTATCATGTGCCTACCTTGTAATAAATTACTCATTTTTTGTATCTCCAGAAATCTCTTCCTGAACATTTCTGGTGTTGACACAGACAGAGTCTTA